ATTCTATTTTATTGTCTCTATGGAGGTATATGGGGACTTTACGACATTCGGTTTGAAGGCTTTAACCACTTGTTATAGTTTATGTTTGCATTGTATTGGATTAATGTGGTAGTCCAAGGTTGTTGTAGGTGGTTTTCAAGTTTATGCACCCGGTTTTAATATCATTTAGCGATTTTACGACAATCGTTTACTATCCAATCAAGGTGACAGCCGAGCGTGACTGTACGTGTCAGTAGTCAAGCTCATTGGCAATACTATATGTACGCCTTGGATTATTTTAGATAAGATTTTTGAAAATCTCTTAGATTTCGATGCACATTGTGTTATTTCAGCTTGCAGTAAGTCATGGGTTTGGTGGTGCACACACACAGGAGAAGGCAGTATGGTTGGTTGGTGCTGTGGAACAGTGGTTTACTGAGAATGGTAGCGATTAAATTTCTTTAGTGTAATTTAACTTACACATTCACAGTAAAATAAACATAGATGGACAAGTTTAGATAACCGTAGTAGCAGTAAATAGATTTCAGCATCTTATTTTTGAAAAAAAAAATGCATACAACATATAGATACAAATATCAAAATAAAGTGGTAAGAACTAACTTAAACTTATGATATACATATAAGCACTTGTAGGTTTTTGACAAAGAGTAATATTTGTTCATTTTTGTTGAAATAATTTGAATGACACACTTATTAGACAATTTATTGTTATTAGTTCAGTGAGTAAATGTATGTACATATTATTAGTTCAGTGAGTTAATGTATGTAAATGTATGTAAATGTATGTACATATTTTGTTTGATTTCAGATGACATAGAACCATGGGAATTGTCAGACTTCTTTGAAGACATTATGAGCACTGAATTTGACACAGTGATTGATGACAACAGCTTACTTGTGGTGAGTTGGTTGCCATTAAAAGGTCAGTTACTTTAACCATGTGAAGTGTATTTAAATCATTGTGTATTTAAATCATTGTAGACTATTATTTTTAGCAGCCAGGTATGGTATCCCAGGATGAAACAATATAATGATAATTTATTCATAAATTTTAGGGTTTAGGTTTTAACATGTTAAACTTAATGTGATTAGTGTTTCTGGTTTATTTATATATTATAGATTTGTAAATTAGTCACTAATGAACAGTGAAATGTTATTGCTTTCAGGTTTCAAAAGCAATATGCCAATTCTACGCCCTCTGCAAGCAAGGGAAAGAGGCAGAGGTTTTAGCAGATGTTGAAAAGATACCGACTGCTTCTCTGCAAAACTGTGTGGTGGCCCAGGATGAGGATGAGGTAGGAAATACAGGGTTGAAAAATGCTTTTTTCTTAACATAATAACAAAGAAACAATTGTTTAAATATCTTAACTTTTATATGATGAGTTACTTGCCACTTTTGTTCAACAGATTATTTGCCACATATTTTCTTTTTTTTTTTGTGTGTGAATTATATCTTCAATCATTTCCACCACAATAATATCATGAGGTAAAATGTAAAAGATGACAAGCACAACTGCAAAGCTTTTCTTGGTAATTTTAATCAAGACAAATACAGTTAAGTATTTCTCTGTATGATTCTGTTATAAAGGATGATGATGATGAGGAGGAGGAGGAGGTACCCCGTCTATCCCAGGGTGGTGCCAGCAGATTACAGCCAGAACCCATGGACCACCAGTCTGCTACAGAGGGAGCCACTGGCTGTGATAATACTACCACCGAGAACAGTGACACAAAGACGGGTAAGAAATGGGAGAATGACATGGGGAAAAATAAGAAACATACAATTGTTACATATAAATTTTTTAGATTCTTGGTTCCTCAGTTATAAGATATTAGTTTATGTGCTGATATATTTATACCAAAGAAAGATATTAATATGTATGAATAAAGCATCAGGTTGTTGAAAAATGAATGATTAGATTTAATGGCAAGTGATGAAAATTACTATGCACTACTTATTTCAAATTGTTTTTCAATTCCATTGTATTAATTGGAAAAATCCTTTGTTTGCAGAAGACCAGTCCAGTTCACAAGATGCAGAAATGGAGGAGGAATGGACTACAGTTACATCAAAGAAAAAGAAAAGGAGATAGCAAATGCTTCAATTTTTTAAATCCTAAGCTATCTTTTCTTTTACAAAATCTCAGTTTAATTGGAGTTCTCCAAATGGAAGATATTTTGGTGTCCTGAAAGCCTGTGTAAAATCACACAGATTGTTGATATCGCCTATCAGCATTGCAGCAGTGATGGATTAGTTGTTCATAGACAAGCTGGTTTGACCCAAAAAAAAATTTCTGAAGGAAAAATTCAGGGATGTCAGTTAATTCCTAACAGAAGAATCCACTAGTGACTAGAATGAGAGCTTTGTTTGGTTAGAAAGGCCCTAGTGCAGATGTGGTCTGTATTTGCTCTTTGTGCAATATTAAGGCAGATATGAAAAGGATATTTCATCAAGTAATAATATTTTCATTTCAGATATTGGATTAAATTGGACTACAGTATCTTGAACTGACAAAATCAGTAGTGTTATATGTTTTTATAACTATTGTCACTTTTTGTTTTAAGGAAAATGAGTAGAAAAAGAACATCAAGAAGTCAAAACCTGAATTTAATGTCAAATATTTATTTTGTTGTCACTTTTACCAGCTTAAAATTTACATACATATGTTACATACACAATAAAGAGTAGCAACTTGCTACTAATTAAATACTTTGAACATTGTAACCTTTTTTCTTCACAACTAAGCTGCAGTGTCAATAATAATTCAAATTAAAAATCTTAAAGTCTAATTTTATTAATCTTTCAAGCCTCTGTAATGAATACTACCATCATCAGCACATTACATACAGCAAATAGCTTTAAAACTTGGCATCTTGCAATATCGCCCTTGGAATGCTGCCTAAGTCATCCGCCATCTTGAGAACAAACGTGGCGGCCACCAAGACTGAGTGACTGTCACAGGCATTATGAATGGTGGGCAGAATGGTTGAATGTCTCTTCCTCTTGACAGAGAGAGCAAAAGAATTTGTAAACTTGGCATACAATACTGTCCCATTAATGGTACAGTGCATATAAATATCAATATTGCAGCTTTCTCCATTTTACTTCCTACTTTTCAATTCTACAAATTCTCCCTGAGCAGCTTGCAAAAACACTTCCAGTTGTTTACCTTAAATAGTTCACACACAAAGTCAACACCAACAAGTATTTTTGCAGGGTGCTTGCAAAGAGCAGTCTTTTCCATTATCCAGGTCTTTTTTTTTTAAACGTATAAAATGCAGTATTAAGTCCTTGAATCATGTGCCTATGTCTCTTCTGTAAGAGAAGATTAGAACAGTAGTGTGCTCATGCCTCCCATCTCGCTCTGTTCTTTCACGAAGATCTCGAAGTACTGGTAGATGATGGTGACGGCAAGCAGGATGCCAGTACCACTGCCAATGGCGCCTAAAAAGATGAGAAGTTGCGTGAGAGCTTTCATCTATAAAGAGGCAAGGCTGCAGATTTTTATGCTTGTTTAATGTAACTATTATTTTATTGATATAATTTTTTTTTAGAAACCTGCATTAATGATTTAAAATCATTCTCTGACATTTTCTTTATATTAACACTAGCTCTATTTTTGGACAGGGAATATTTTTGAAATTAACAAGATTTACCCCTCACACTGTCACCTTATTTACTTCAGTAGTTTAACACATAATATCCTGGTAAACATGTCAATCTCGCACTTAAATCAGTGTCTACTTACCCATGAAGTCAGCCATGACAGAGAGAGCACCTATACACAGCCCACCAAAGGCAGCAGCGGTGGGGATGTATCTGTTCAACTCGTGGATCATGGACTTCTCACGATGTCCTCTCATCACCATCTGCTGCTCCTTGAGTTGCTTAGCAACCTGTGGAAACATCCACAGTATTAGCATTATTCATAGTATTAGCAACTCATTCACAATTATATGAAACTTTTCTGGTTGCTTTATTTGGCATTCAGTCTTGTAGCCGTCATCATTATCATTATTGTCAGTTTTCAGATCTAGTATGTCAAAAATAATTATTATTCTTTTTAATCAGTGGCTGGGATACTCTAGTTTGGTATTTGCAAAATATCAAATCTTCAAAGCTACCTAAAAATTGAGATGACTAGGAACAAGTGAAAACAGATACTCACATTTTTGACAAAATGTCATGATAAAAAATGACAAAATGCATTTATAAATCGTCCCCAACCACAGAAATATTCGAGCATTTTCAACTCACATCTTTAGCGCTGGATCCAGAGACATCAATCCATGTCTTGGAGAAGAAGGCGCAGGATCCTAGCATGAACACTATGTACAGAATGGCGTGAATGGGGTCCTCTAGCACGTGGGATAACGTCTCAGGAGGGGACAGGTAGTAACACAGGCCTCCAATAGGGTAGGAACGAGCTGGGCCGCCACCACCAACATCCTACAGTGGTATATTAGGATGTTATAGTATGTGTAATCGTATCAGTTGTGCTTTAACAGTGTGGATTAGAAACTTACATTTACATACTGTGGACAAAAAGAGGTGTGCCACTTGCTCATCGTGAGACACCACACCTAATAATTGCTATTATAATGAATATTTTGTTTTTTGAAATTTGAGTTTTAATACAATTCTGGCTTTCTTTGGTTTGAAAGACTAATCAAGTTCTCCTAAGGTATATATAAAACCTGAAATTTTAAAAGTGACAGAAAAAACAAATCAACATATAACTATTCCAGTATTTGGCTGCTTTACTTTCTACATAATAATATCAAAGTTCAAACTTACAGCCCAGACTCCCAACAAGTTGATAAGGAAGTTCCCACTAAACTTGGTGGCCAACATCTGAGAGATGACATACAGGTTGGACACTAGCGCACTCTGCAGGATGATGGGGATATTAGAGGTGTAGAACAGCTTGATGGGATAGCTGCTGTACTGACCACGGTAGCGGGCAGACTTGATGGGGAGATCCACTCTGAAACCCTGGGGGAGAGAGAAGTTTGGTCATAAATTAATGAAATAGGATCATACGATGCGATTTAAACTCAAAACTCTGGCAATAAATTAATAAATGTCAAAGAATATTATTGTGTCAATTTAAGGACTTTTCCTCCCAAACTCATTAAAATAAAAAAATTATTTTGGCTTTCAAAATACCAAGCAAGCTGAGACTTTGAACTCTCTGCTCAAAACATACAATAAATTGAAGAAAAATAACATCACGAACAAAATTTATCCACTAACCTGGAAGTATATGACGATAGCAAACACCAGGACGGTAGCCATAAGATTCATGAGGTTTGGCAGGTTCTGGCGATAGAAGGCCTCCCGGAGTCCGCGTACCTTGTCTGTACGGGTAGCCAACAGGTGGAACAGGGCAATGATTGCGCCCTCAAATTCAGTTCCTGGAGACAAATATAATATAAGTAAGAATAAGGTTCTGTTTATGTTTGTACAATTTCAAAGCAAGAGATTCTTGTCATGTCCTTAAGGCCATAAAGCATTAAATGATTCGATGGCAATGATTTCAAATATAAAATGGGATCTCTTTTTTCACAGAAAAAAAATCATCACTTCATGAAGGATCCCTCATTCTGTTATGCCCATCATTTCTGCACAGAAATCTTATCAGTTTTTGTAAGCACATGATATGTCTGTTATACAGATCTCCAAGCAAACACCTAAGCTGTATCACATCTTAAATGCTGCACACATAATATCAAAGCTCTAAGTAAGACAAAGCTCCTAACCTCTTCCAGTGTTGACAGTGGCTGGGCTGAATGCCTTCCATACAATGGTCTCACAGATGTTGGTGGCAATGAAGAGGGAGATACCTGAACCCAGACCATAGCCTTTCTGTAGCAGCTCATCAAGCAGCAAAACAATTAGACCTGCTACAAACAACTGGAATAGAAAGAGTATATGAAGTATGTGTGACAAAATGAGCATACAAATAAATACTTTCCTTAATTTTCACTTTTTAAAGAAATGGAAATTTCACAATAGTGGCTGACCACTCCTCTACACCCTATAAAATTAAAATTGGCAATTTTTAAATAGTTCAGGTGAATAGTTACAACTTTTAACATTTAACCAGTCATCTCCAGGACCTCACCAAAGAATTTCCTTCACCAAAATTCAAGTACCCACAAAAAATACTAGCATGCATAAAATTAAAAGCAATTTCTAATTTAACAGATTTACTTTTCCACTTTCAACAATGACCAGTCAACGATTTGGAGAAGAAAGTGATAACAAGAATTACCTGAATGATGATGATAAGGCAGACGCCAGCACCTAGGTCAGATGGTTCTCCGTACATCCCAGTCATCACGTAGACGATAGACTGACCAATGGTAATCACCATACCAAACACTGGGAGGGAAAAAATGCACAAAATTAATACTTAATATTCTCTCAAGTTTGGAGGTTTGCAAGCACGGCAGTTTTTCCAAGTTGTCACACCATTTTCCAGACTAAGCTGGCTTTGAGATATTTTATCATATATAGCATACAGAACGGTAATTTACAATTTTCGAAAAAAAGTTTTAATAAATATGCAATCAACTTTTAATAATGTGTCTGAAATAATTAATAATAATAATTAATAACTTGTTTTTACTAAATTTTCTTAACAACCTCCAAGTTGACCAATTACACCAGTGGCAGTACCACTCCATACTTATAATAATTTTGGAGGGCATGTGCCCCTACTCCTAGGAAAAGCCCTGACAGCAGTAGAATTACTTCCCCATACTTACATTTCTGTGCCCCATTGAAGAGAGCTCTGTCCTTAGGGGTGTCGCCAACCTCGATGATCTTAGCGCCAGCCAGGAGCTGCATGATCAGACCAGACGTCACGATGGGGGAGATCCCCAGCTCCATAAGAGTTCCTGGAGTAGACAATATGGGGTGTGAATACTTATGCAAATTTCATATCTGGAAATTCCTTGGAGAGTCTTTGGTGACTAATCTTTTTTTTTTATTTCAATCAAATGCAAGTATTATCTCCAAATTGTCACACCATTTTTCAGACTAAGCTGGCACTGAAGTGTTAGTTCATAGCTTACAGAAAGGGGGAGAATTTGGAATTTGAACACTTATTCAACCTTAACATCTGGAAACTGTCACATTGGTAAAAATAGTATGAGGCAATTCCTAGGGCAGACTTAAGTGACTTTTTTTTTGCTGTCAAATATATGTATTATCTTTCTGTCATTTTGTTTCATTATAAACTAAACAATTACATATATTTTTATATTTCATTTTTCTTGAGTAGAAATTTAACTCTAGAGAAGCAGTATCTCCCCCCTCCCCCGAATTCAACCCTCAGCAAAAATTGACAAAAACATGCTTCTTATCTGCAAAATACAGCATTAACAGGAATAATGGCACACTCATAACCGACTGCATAAATTTACAAGTTGATCAAATGCTAAGAAAGTCCATATCTTACTCCAGGGGGTCAAGATAAGAAGCACTTGTTCAGGACACCTTATCAACATTAAGATAACATCTCCAATTATGTAAACTACAGTAATTAGCATCACAAAGAAACTAATGTAAAAGTCAGTAGATTATGAAAATTCAAATGAATAATACATCTGTACTGAACAAAATGATTCCTGATCAAAGACATTTCTAAACATGCAAGGTTTAGCAAGTTAGTCGTTTCCCCTGGTTGGTAAGAAAAGTAAGAGATATAACACTATCCAAAATGTCTTGGAGCAAAGTACAACATCAACAGTTACAAATGAGAGAAAGTCGTTTGATTGAGGTGTATTCATGAGTTTTGTGCGCGCGTGTATGTGTGTGTGTGAGAGAGAAAATGTGTTGATATCAAAACTATCAAAGCGGACATTTTCACCCAATATAGCAGGCAGAACTAACATAAAGAGCAATGATTAAAGAACTCACCTCTGTTGGAGGCCATGATAACTCTCATCCAGTAGAATGGATCTGCAGAATCCGACGACATGATACCAAACAGTGGAATCTACAACATTAACATGAAAAATAGTACAGTTCAACCATCCATCTCATGAGTCCCATCATTAACTTCAGCTGTATTCTGTATTTTTCAAATTCATGTTGTAAAAAGTTTAAATCATTTTAGACTTTAGAGTCATTAATGAGAGTGCCCCATGAAAGTATGTCCTGGTTCACTCATAGGTGCCAGGTGACACTTACCTGACAACAAACCAAGAAAATAAACAGGGTGATGGCAGTCCATAATACCTTCTCTCTGAACTGAATCTGGAATATAAACATGACAAAACACATCATTATATAGTAGGTTGAAACAAAATACAACCAGCACATTGGGGTTGTTTATGAATGGAAAACCAAAGATCTGTTCTAAACATCAGACAATAAATCAAGATACATTAACTCAACTTCATAAAGAAAACATCAAATAATGAGTAAATATTTTTCTCCCTTAGGAGTATTTATAAAAAGTTTATGCTTTCTTATGCTCCCTCTAACTTTATTCTTAATATGCCTCCATATGTACTGGTAAGTAACTTAAGGCCAGGTGAAACATATGGTTTATGTTTGTTATGTTGCATCATTCAGATTTAAATAAACAACATTAATATCAAAGCCAGAGTCTAAAAATTTCCCTCCAAGAAATGTCAACTGACAAGCATTAAGCCCAATACACTGACAACCAGCTGTTTGCATTTTTGTTTACAAGTAATTAACAAATAGTGCTCACCACTTGAAAGTTTACCAGGTTCAAAAAACATTTTGCTCACAAAAAGTCATCGAAATTGTTGCTCAGTTGACAATAGAATTCATTAGCTTTGCTGTGAAGTTCAAACAAATTTGTCCTCTAAGGTCTTGACTAACTTGGTCTGCAACGTGTACAAAGGTGTACTAGTATAAACACGGATATGGCCACTTACCTTTCTTTCTGGCTTAGCAATTTCTGGCAAAACCGCACAAAACGGCTTCACAAACTCGAGGAATTTGACTGAAACAATACAATTGTGACGTTAAGTACTAAAAAAATTGACTCAGGTGTAAAACTTGTCAGGAAAAGTTATTGATTTTAGGTGGGGGAACAGGGCACACATGGCCACGTAAGCAAACTAGGCCATTCATAACTAGTACCGGCTTCAAAAACATCAAAAATTTACAAAGAAAAAATAAGTTACAACTGAAAAAAATCACTTGGTTACTTACTTCCCATTTTGATGTGTTTTTGAGTATCTGATCAACCCTCTCAGATCTTTCTTAAAAGAGGTACCCAAGAAAGCCTTCGAGGAACTTGTCGGCCCAGCTGAAACACAAAATATGGCCGATGTGGAAAGGCTGTCACGTGACCGCAGCGACCCAGATAATTGCTATTGAATCAAACTTAAATTTCAAAGAATACAGGGTCAGTTTTGATATATTTGAAAATGATTTTTCTCTTGTCAAATTAGTTTTGTAAAAATAGTTTAAAAAATAGTTCAATGAAATAAAATAAGACGTCACGAGACTGATGGGACTTGTGATGTCACAACACCGGTGTCATCTGCGCATGTGCACCTTCTGCTTGAACGAGACTATTTAATTTTATTTAAAAAAAGAAACAGTTGTGCCATCCTCGATACTGTATATTTTCATACGGATATACACAATTCCATCTAATTTGTTTGAATCATAACACTTATATATTCACTGGCAAGAAATGAACATAAATTCTGGCTTGCTACGCGGTATAACACGGTAAAGGGGGGCTATTTTCATTTAGCGGGTTCAGTGATTATAAATGGCATTGGGAAATTGTCTTGCTATGTCTCTATATTGTTTTTGGGGACCGAAAGGAGCAGAAAGAGGTGGGGGGCAGCTAGATTAGAGGACAACTGCGGGATTTACCCGCCATGGATTTGCTCGGGAAAATTGAAATTAAACGAGTCTCACCTTTCAGTAGGGAGGTCAGGTCAACCTTGATAGTAACTTAAATATCAGCCAAAGTGATCTCATCTGATAGAGCAACTCATGAGCTCTCCAAAACATTTTATTTTTTGAAAATCGAGCAAGCCAATCAAAAGTTATTAAATTTTAAAGAAGCTAGTCGGCCACAAAATTTTGAAAAAGTCTTGTATGCAAGCATAGACTATGTAACAGTGGAAGCCAAAAGTGTCACCTTATTGCCCAATCAATTAAACAAAATTGGCATAACTTTTGAATGGAGTAAAACATCCATTTGAAATTTTCTGAAAAGTTACAATATGCCAAGAAGAATCTGACAAGAAAAATTTCTGTAATTTATCCATTATTTCCATGGCAACCATTGCTAAATATCAATAGCGGTTGATACAATTTTTTTTATTTTTCAACCCAAGGCTTCAGCTTCACTGCCCAAAGGCTACTTTTGGATGAAAATGATTCTTAATAATGTGCCATTACTAAAAACAAAAATCATGGCTTCTAATGTAGGCCTATCTGTTGCTATGGAAATCGTCATTATGATAGCTGTTGCTATGGTAACAGTTTGTATTATAGGCCTATATTACATGTCATCATGAATTTTTAAACTGAATATGAAGTGGGAAACACTCTTGGCACTCAGTTTATGAATTTAAGTTAAATAGTAAACAAATACTATGTCATTGTTGCCATGGCAACCAATATTACAATGACAATTGCATATACGAGGTTTATAACTAGTAAAAATGCCAGAATGCACAATGAAAATAATAATATCCGATTTTGGTAAGTTATAATTTTGCCAAAAAATTTTAATTGATATTGGACATCATAGCAGGTAGGTAATACAAAAACCAATAAAATAAACTCTATTTTCTTGAATTGCAGACGTTTTATCAATATCAATGGGTTTCGTGAACAATTCAAAGGTTTTCTGATATGATATTCTGATATCTTGATCCTCTTTGGGTGCTGAAAGTGCAGAACAGCTTGGTGCGTCCGCCATTTTCTTTGCGGTAAGATCAAAGTCACTGATATTCTAACAGCTGTTACGGCTCTGTCTTATCAAAAAATGATAAATAAATAATTAAATTGAACCAAGAATTACATGTAGTTAAATTATCTAGGTAGGGGTTACAGAATTTTCAGAACTTAGTTACTCTAACTATAAAACACGATTAAAAACTTTACAAGCTAGTTGTGGTTGCTGTTTTCGGTTAAATCAACTTCTGTAACCCCTCAGTCAAATGGTTGGTTCATTTTCTGCATGAATATGTGGCCAAATACGAGGAAATAACATCCGGGTCGCCGTACGGAGCTTTTGGAAAAAAGGCGCGAGACGCGCAGGTTGAGCAAAATTCGTAAATAGCGGGTACCAAACGAGGAAGTGAAATCACCGGCGATTTCGCGCAGCATTTTCGTGGCTGGAGGCTTACAACGGAGACATAATACATTGTTACACATATTGTTAGAAAGGCCATTCAATGCACTTTTTAAATATATTTTCATATTTATCATAGGACCCAAATCTTGAAAGTTATGATGGAAAACAAACAGCGAGGTTAGATTTCTTCCCGTTTTCGACTGCGTGAGCGGTGTGACCTGACCTCCCTAAACTTTCAGTTGAAGTTTGATGGAGATTCTATCGACTACCAGTCAGGAACGAAGGAATCAGAATCAGAAGTTTATTGACAATCGCCCTACATCTGGGCATCATCAAATACAAATACAAGAAGTAATCCGCAGAGTGGTATTACAGTAAACAGTTAGATATACATTATAGGCCCCTAATGTCTAAACTAATGCAGGGAAAGTATAGGCCTAGGCCTACAAGTAGGGCCTACTACACAACAGAGGTTAATACAGGGATCACCTACCCTCTACCAGGGCGAGTGATAGATTTTTTACAGATATTCACGGATATGTCTCTAGCTAGATAGATGGTCATTTAGGGCTCAACTCACCCTGTTGAGAAATCTCAAGGCTGATTACATGGCTGATAATTGTTTGCATAACTGCTCAGGCACTGCCACTTAGCAGGTCCAGTCTAAGTCTGCGTGACAGCAATCAAGACAGTTAATTACTCTGACTTCAATCACTTGCTCTTCTGTGACAGATAAAAAAGCCTTAGACTGGTTGCGTAACGAGCAGTTATCACGTCGTTGTGAAGCTCAGCTCATGCAGAGCAAGTAGGGGCCTACAAAGCCTTTGGCGCGCGCGCAGAGATAATTGTTTCCACATGGGATTTCTCAACAGGGTGAGTTGAGCCCTAAATGACCATCTATCTAGCTAGAGACATATCTATCACTCGCCCTGGTAGAGGGTATAGGTATAGTATGTACTTAGTTCAGATTCAGATTCAAGCAGATGGATAAGCTCTTGGGTGAAAGCAAAGGACGAGAGTTACACAACTAATTGTGAACTGCCTAGCTCTGAGTTTTAGCTCCAAGTTTATGAAATGAAGCTTTGTTTATTTATTTGGATGTATTAAGGCAATTAAAATACAATGCCAGAGACTGCAGTGACATGCTTTATGTTTTCCATTTCATATGTTTTTTCATTTAATTTAATTATTACGTTATATTTCTTCAATATTTTTGTATTTTATCCTCCATTTTATTTCCAGAGTTACAGAACTGTCTTGGTGCATACAGAGTTACTCCTGTAGATGTGAATAGTCGGCCATCACAGTGTCTCACAAACTTCTTACTCAGTGGTGAGTAAGCTTTGCTCATGCAGATTACCATATGTTTGCCAGAGTCTGGTATTATTTCAGAAACAAAATCTATTCCAAGCTTTTGATAACTATTTCAAGATTTCCAAGTTACTTTCAAACATGAAAGATTTTTAGGTGATTGACATCAGAACTGAGCATTAATGGTTTGTTTTTCAAGAACTTGTGTGGTTCAACAGCAAAATATATTACTGTTAGTATTGAATTGGCTCGCAGAAGGGGAGATTGGCATCAGTACTACCAGAGTATTACTGGTTTGTTTTTCAGGAAGAGCCGTGATGTTAGAACAACCCAGGAAGACGGGGAGGGTGATGTCCCACATGTTAGCAAGTCATGGAGGAGAGCTATACATCCATGTACTGAGTATAGCCAGGTCGGCCCTGGAGGACCCCCCTTCCATCAGTGAGGGGGCAGGAGGGAGAGT